TTTTCAGACTCTTCATAGCCCTTCCACTTGATCTCAAACAAGAGTCTGGACTCGGGGTCGAGCCTCGCGTTTACAATGGTTTCGATGGCGTAGAGCTCATCCGAGACATACTCGCTCTGGAGGTCCAACTTTGTCTGCTTCGGCGGTCTAGTTGTCGACATCTTGAACCTCCTCTTCCGCTTCTTGTGATTCATGGGACATATAGTGGTGTTTTTGAATAGACTGATGGGATAGGGATCTACTCGGAGTGACATCTGAAGGGCGGCGTCGATGAGGCCCTGAATGGGCTGAATGCAATCCAACCGACAATTGTGGACCAATTGGAGCAACTGGTCGTCGGATAACAGGTGCGCGTCTCGGATGGTAAACCTCTCGGCGTTACCATCTGTTTCGCAGTCGTCCTCCTCATCAGAGATCACTTGGCAGTCGCTGTCGCTGTCGTCCATACCAAAGACCGCTCGCTATCTTCATGTCAGACACCAATTATCATCACAAGTGATACATAGGTGTTGAGTGTCTCATACCTGTCCATTACCACCGACTCATGAGCTGACCTCTAGATTACAGTGATTTGCAACACGTGGTGAACAGTAGAGTAGGTGTTGTTGTTGTGGTAAACAGTATTCACTGCAAAGTTTATGCAAAACAAGCACTCATTCATGGCATTGGCTATCAGTGGAGGTCATTGTACCCTAACTTATGTGGTTTAGTTAGGGCTGTTCAATGTACCACCAAATGCGATAAGTCACCATGACTATTAAGTTTATGGGGTATTTATGACCACGCACAAATAAGTAAACCTCAGTTAAATAAACATAAAACTCCTGTTTAAATATGACAATAGCGAGTCATAGAAAGGCCGCACATATTGAGTGTAAAAACTTTTGTCAAACCTCTCAGCAGTCGTAGTGTTTGGTTGTAAACAACAGCTGATTGTCAACCACTGCACGACTCGCGCGTGTTTTCGCGCTCAAGATCTCGCTGTCAACAACTGATCCAACGGTGATGTCGTCCACGCAGGCGCTCAATCAAGAGATCCGCGAATCCAAGCGAGAGTTACAGCAAATCCAGGAGCAGATCATGACTTTGAGGTCACGGAAGAGACAGTTGGACACAAAGATCGCGTCGCTTGAGACACAACTCCAGAGTCACAGCGAAACCGATTACCAGAAGTTTGCCACCGATTCGTACGACTGGTCCCAAAAGGTTCACAAGTTATTGGAGACAGTGTTCGGCCACAAGAAGTTCCGGTCGTATCAACTGATGGCCATCAACGCCACGCTCAGCGCCACGGATTGCCTTCTGGTGATGCCTACCGGTGGCGGAAAATCCCTGTGCTTTCAACTGCCGGCGCTCGTCAACAACGGACTCACTCTCGTGGTATCGCCGTTGATATCACTGATGGAGGATCAGGTGAATGGCCTCAAAGAGCTACGCATACCTACGGCTGTCGTCAGCGGTCAGACCACTCGCGAGGAAAACAATCGCGTGCTTCAGGCGATAGCGGATCCCAACAGTGATCTGAAGATAGTGTACGTAACGCCAGAAAAGATGGCGAAATCCAAGCGATTTATGTCTCAATTGGAGAAATGCTATCGAAATGGACGACTCGATCGTGTGGTGATCGACGAGGTATGCGATTATCTTAACCGTGGTTTGGTGTGAATACTGTACTGATTGTGTCCACCGATTAGGTCCACTGTTGCAGCCAATGGGGGCACGACTTCCGCACAGACTATCAGTTCTTAGGCGTACTGAAGACACAGTTCTCGAAGGCGCCGATCTTAGGGCTGACAGCGACCGCTACCTCTGCTGTCATATTAGACATACAGAAGATATTGTCGATCGAAGGCTGCGTTGTGCTGAAGGACTCCTTCTTTCGGCGAAATCTTCGCTATTTTATTGTGAAAATCGACGCCAAAAGAGACGATCAAATCGCAGAAATCGCGGATCAGTTGCTCACCAAATACGCCAATCAGTCGGGAATTATCTACTGCTTAACCATCAAAGATGTCGAAGAAGTGACTTTAAAACTGAACTCATTGGGTGTCAAAGCCGGTGGATATCACGCGTCTCTGGAACCAGACGCCAGGTCCCGGTGTCACCGAAAATGGTCTCAAAACAAGTTTCAGGTGATTGTGGCGACCGTGGCGTTCGGTATGGGTATCAACAAACTCGACCTCCGGTTTGTGATACACTTTTCGATGTCCAAGTCGTTGGAGAACTACTATCAGGAAACGGGTAGAGCCGGGAGGGACGGGAAGCCAGCCGACTGTATACTGTACTACAGGTTTGCCGACATATTTCGCGCCACGAGTTTGGTCTTCAGCGAGAAGAATGGTCTGTCGAATGTCTACTCAATGCTCGCCTATTGTCTCAATGACAGCGTCTGCCGGAAAGGTATCATAAGTTGTGATTAAAGACATCAAAACATAGATTTAAATCTGTGTCTCATTTGTAGAACAAATCGCCACTTATTTCGGTGACAAATGGACGGATAATTGCGACCAAATGTGTGATAATTGTATGATTGCTGAAGACTTGACCGCAATCGACGCCACGAAATACTTGGAGGATATCATCAAAATACTGGACAACGCGTCCAATGTTAGCGAACGTATGACTGCTTTGAAACTAATGGACGCCTGGTTTGCAAAGGGAAACAAGAAGTTAAGACTCGACGACATCAGTGTCCCCATTATTGGACGCCATGTATGCCAACAGATAATCGGATTACTATTAGTGGACGGCTATCTCAAAGAGGACTTCCACTTCACGCCCTACTCGACCATTAGTTACCTGATAGTGGGCTCCCGTTCCCATCTGAGGCGCAAAGGCCACACAATCACGTATTATCTCATTTCGTCGCCAAAACCCAAAATCAAACAAAACAATAGTTTGTGTCAAAAGACTGTTAAAGAAAAAAAAGTTAAGAAACAAAAAACTAGTGATAATAACAAACCATCAGATGATGTCATATGTATTGACTGATGAGATACTCATTAGTTTTGTATATAATTTGATATAATTTATTACAATTTGCTAACAATTTAATGAAATAACGTATGAATTATTAAAACATCTGTAAAATACTGGAATTAATTAATTATCTGTTATTTGGTCTCCGATTTGATGTCCACTTCATCTATACCTCGAGTTTCATCTTTTAATTGATTTAAATAATTCAAACGCCGGCTAATAGTGAGGAGTCGGGCGCTCAACAAACCCCTGTCCTCGCCATCGGCGGTAAACACTTTCCATCCGCTGTCGTCTTCCGTGAGTCGATAAAAGGCGGCGTTTCTGGTCTTCAGCTTCCGGTAGTACTCGACGGCGCCCTCTAAGTAGTCGTCGCCGAGACTGACGGTGCGTTTGTCGGCCCGAAGACTGGACCAGTAATTGATGGTCTGGTTGAACGTCGACCACAAACAGTAGCCGATGATCAGCGATACACTCCTCACCACAAAGCGCTGTCCAAACGTCTTAAGCGATTTGACACGATTTATGAGTTCCTGCGCTAAGCCTAAGGCCACTGCCGTCGAGACAGTGATGTTGAGACAGTCGGCGAAGAGGTTGACATTGTTTGCCGAATGGATCCGTTGAGCGATGGCGTACTTCTTGGCGTTAGGGCTGAGGACTAATGACTTGATGAACGCCTGTCCGGCTTCTGAGCGCCACTTCGTGTACGGGTTTTGTTCGCCTTTGAATCGCAGATCAATTGTCTTGACGTCATCGACGGTGTGGTAGTTAAGCAGAAATGGGAGACCAATGGTCGCACCGGTAGGCAGTCCTAAAGTGCCGATATATATGGGCTGTCGGTATGAATCAATTGGTAATACATTAATACATGTCTTGAGATCACACATAGAGATCAACTATACCTCAGAGCCGACTGATGGGAAGAAGTGGACTAAATCTGAAGACTTGTGGTGAAGATTTCGCTGACACTCTGTCCACACGTTTGTGGCAAACGTCTTGAGCTCGTCGTTGAGTGGACTCAAGTCGCCGGACCTGTTGTCAAGTGATAATCGCTGATAATTACTACTCTATCATGTCTTAAGCGGTAGTATAGATGGTGGTACTCACGAGTAGGAGTGGACAATGGCTCTGTAGTGGTCTATAAGTAGCGTATTATACGTGAAGTAGAGACCAGTTGTGAGACAACTATACTACTCTATCATGTCTTAAGCGGTAGTATAGATGGTGGTACTCACGAGTAGGAGTGGACAATGGCTTTGTAGTGGTCTATAAGTAGCGTATTATACGTGAAGTAGAGACCAGTTGTGAGACAACTGCCGGACAGTAGTATAAGTCTGTAGTAATAGTTGTATCGCTTTTCAGACATTAATTGCAAACCAAATCTCCACGCGTTGTATGAGTTATGCAATGCTGTCATACCGTTGCGGACTTCCCGTAGACTATTCACCAGTAGTTTAGCCATTGTTTTGAGGGTTAAATGGGGGTTAAGAGGGGTTTAAATGATGTTTACATTTATGTCGCGAAAACATGTGTGAAATGAAAATATTTGTAAGTTTTTGTTCACTTGAATGACGCAAACAAATGCCGGTATTTGTGGGTAAAAAATGTGCGCAAACTTTGAGTTAAAGTTTGTGTGACTTTTTTGGTTCAAAACGGTTTGAAACTTAAGGTTAAATTTATGTTAAAATTTATTTTAATTATAAACTTTGAATAAAGATTATGTTTATTATTGCATTTATGATGACATATGGATATCCATTCCCCTGTCGGTGCATTTTATATACAAGATATGGGATTTATTATGAGATGTAGTCCCAAACTCATAGACTTAGCAATAGTTTTCATTGAATTTAAAATTGAACAATTAGATTTATCACTCAATGAGATATAAATTATGATTTAAATGTGAGATAATGGTGACTTAAAAATTACTAGTGGAAGGCCTAAAAAGTTTTTTTTGTGGTCATATGCTTTTGTCTGCACGTTTAGCTCGATAATATCATATTATGTATTATATTATACATATTATGTACTCCAGATTTACGCCCAAAAATCTGTGTTTATCTGGAAACTCATGTTTTTACATTAAAGTGAATGGAAAAATAATACTTTTATATCGACAGCTTTTTTAAAATTTACATAAATACGGAGTATACAGTGAACTATACATACTGACAAAATAGCATATGATTACAAAAAAGACCCGGAGGGAGAGAACCGGTTCAGGCATCCGGAGTCGGGCAGACAATGATGGCGACCGTCAAATCCCTGTCCGACTCGTGGCCTATACGCGAGAAGGGACACTACAAACTGAGTCACGTGATCAGCCTCGAGGCCAACCGCATGCCGGCCAACACGGACGATGTGTTCGCAGCCATAGCCACGGGTGTTGGAGTTTCGGCCGATGCAGCCGTTGATGCTATTGGTGCGAATACTGACACAGTCGGCACCGGGAGGTCGCTATTACGGCTGCGTACTGGACAGGACTGAGGCTGGACTGCGGTTCGCCGCCCGTCCCGTGACCGACTTTCTCGAGAACCGGAACCGAGTACTCGTGGTTCGGGAGAGTGGGGCGACTGAGAAGGACCGACCCCAGGACGTGGACCTCAGCATCAGTAGGGCGCTGGTGGTCAGTAAGAGTGGGTATCTCTTGTACTTCGCGAATACGGATCACTGCTATTGTCTGGTGGAGGACGAGGTGTTGGCTTTCGTGGATCCGAAGAGCGATGTCTTGTTTCGCCGGATGTTTGAAACGAAACGTCAGAACGGGTCGGAGCTCTACCTGAAAATGAATCTCTTGAGCCCAGAGGCCAACCATTTGGATGGTATGACTATATACAATGGGGCCGTCCAGAGGGACATTTATATGAGATTCCTAAGCGAGAATTTCAAAACTGTTTACCTATATCTCATTATGACGAAACTGCAAAGAAATGCGTTTGCAATGATCACTCACATGTAGATCCTGTTGATCCACTGAAATGTTTGTGCGATACAGGGCTTTCATGGAATGACACTAAACAGGCGTGTTTGGATCCCACGATATGTCCAAAGATTTCTCATGACAAAATAACAAAGAAATGCGTTTGTGATGAAAAAGCCCATCCTGATCCGGATCACCCTAATGAATGTATGTGTGATACAGGGCTGATATGGGATAACACTAAAAAGGCATGTGTGGTAGATCCCAAAGCATGTCCAATGATTTCTCATTGGGACGTCACTGCCAAAGCATGTGTTTGTAATGCCAAAGCCCACCTTGATCCGGCTGATTCTAAGAAATGTGTGTGCGATACTGGATTGACATGGGATGAAACTAAGAAGGCGTGTTTGGACCGCAAAGCATGTCCAAAGATTTCACATTATGACGACATAGCAAAGAAATGCGTTTGTGATGCCAAAGCCCATCCAGATCCGGATCCCCCTAATGAATGTTTGTGTGATACAGGGCTGACATGGGATAACATTATAAAGAGATGTGTGGTAGATTCCAAAGCATGTCCAAGGATATCGTTTTGGGATGAAACAGCAAAGGCATGTGTATGTGCTCACGACGCACATAAAGATCCGGCTGACCCTAAGAAATGTCTTTGCGATTCAAATCTTCATTGGGACGATAAAATGAAAGCATGTCTGATGAGATGAAAGAATGGATTGAAAAAGAGTTATCATGTGATTGTGTTACGACTACCCACGTTGTTCCTACTGATCCAACAAAATGTGAATGTGACAGTGGTAAATGGGTTTATGAGAAACAAAAGTGTGAATAATACTGATGAATTTGTTAGTGAAATTTTTTAAAATTAAATTTTATAACTTGCAAACTATTAATTTTCAACTTTTATAAATAAATGGGTTAAATTGCTAACTTTTATGTATTATCTAAAATATATGAGGTTGTATATACTGACGTAATCTATTAAACTATGGCCAAGTTTTATTAAGATTAAAATATTTTTCATTCAGATACGTTTATAATTTTTAAAATTAAAATTTGTAATAAAGGATGTTCTGTATATTGATGTTCAATTGAATAAAATTTATCATTCCCCAAATTGAAATTATTTTATTAATTTATTGAAATTAAAAATGTGTATAAATTAATATAAATAAATACATACAAAAGCACAGATGCAATACTTTTGAAGTGAGGGACTGTCGACACAATGCGATTGATTTGCGTATAAATTAATGCGAGAAATGTCGCCAATTATAAGTGAGTTGCCTTAAAACAGTGTTTTTTACATTATCTTTGTAACTCAATAATGTCAATAATTATAATTGATAATTTATTAAATTATATATTCTTATATATTTTGTCCTATTAAATAAGAAATTAATCAGTGAAAATAAATATTGTAACGCGATGCGTGTCCGGCGAGCTCGGAATCCCTATTGTGCTCTGCTTCCGACCCTCCTATCACGAATGCCTCCCATGATTGTCGGGTCCTGGCGCGTCACCCCTGTTATTCTGTACCTTACATCAGGCCTACTGTGCCGACTCTTAAAAATAAATCATAGTGTATAATAAACGATATTAAATAGGGTATAATAATATTAAGTATAAAATGTAGAAACTTATTTTGGAAATACATAATGAAACAAAAGTAAGTTTTCAAAGGTATATAACTAGGGTTGCCAGACGTCCTCCTTTTCGAATATTGTCCTCCAATCGGTCCCTCAAAAAAGTCCTTCCGAGGGTTTTAGGAGGACAATGTTATTTCCTCCCGAAAGTAATTGTCAAAATAATGAAAATATTCATTTAAATTTTAATTACTTTCCAAATTCATGAAATATACTGTGAAGTTTGTAATCATTATTTAAATAATTTATGAAATAATTGTTAGTAGGACAACCAGTAGTGCATTGGATTTATATAATAATTAAGCTTAAATTATAGTGATAATTAATTTTTTTTATCATTTTTGCCCTCCCAGTTTCCTCTTGCTCATGCTCAATTTTGACTATTTGTCCACCCAGATAATGAAAATAGTTGGCCTCCCTATATATAACACACCTATATGGTATAGCACTTGACATTTTAATTTCATAATCATTGTGTTATTAAGTCTAATTTCAAAGGATTATATCATTCTTTGAAGCATTTTATTTATTAGACATATCTTATTAAGATACAGGTTATAGCATATGACTTTTGAGACGATATCTGCTATTAGTATAAAACTCAACTACGAATTAATTTTTTTAGCGAATAAAAAATATTTTTGTTAAATTTAATTTAATAACTAAATAATCAAAATAATTGGTTCATTAAATAATAACTTATAATAATATATGGTCAAATCTCTACTCAATTTAAAATGAAAGGTATATTTATATTATAGTATTTATGATTATAATATTTAGTAATTTCAATTTAATCTATTACATTTATAATTAAGCTTATTATTTTCATTATAAATTATTAATATATTAATTTTGTATAATCTAAGTTTTAATTACAAATTAGTAATTAAATTTTTTTATTTAACTTATTATTTTAATATAATGTTCATATATTATTTAAACAGCATTAATCATACTAGCACTATTTGTGCTAGTGCGTGGTCAAGCTGATTTTGAATGCCCATATTTAGATGAGCTTGGCGATTGTGAATGCATCAAGGCTACTAGAGAGTTATATTGTGGCCCTGAAACTCAAGTATTTCCCAATATAATAAAATCTGAAATTTTATTTGAAATCATAACTCTCGATGACATTCAAAATCCAGGCAACATTAAGTTTGATAAAATAACTGCCAAAAGGCTCTCGGTAAAAAAGACAAATTTAAAGGACTTTAATTTTATTACTGACAAATTAAAAAATAGTCTCACTGGCGTATCATTAGATTACGTTCACCAAGGTGATCAAAAATCTAGAATTGATGTTAACGAGCTAATTAATAAATTGAAACCTGAGCAAATAAACGAATTAGAAATAATTAATTGTGACCTTGAAGCTATTCCTGATTTGCAAATGTTTAAGAATTTACAAAGATTATCACTCAATTCAAATAAAATACGAAAAATTGACATTGGTTATTTTCAACAACTAACTAATTTGTCGTATATAAATTTAGAATATAATATAATTTCCTATATAAGTGAAAATGGACTAAAATTTGTCACAAATGAACCTTTGTCAATTTTACTCGGCTTTAATACGATTACCGAACATTTAATAAAACAATCTGGCCTTGTTAATAATATAAAACCTTTGAATATTGATTTAAGTAACAACGAAATAGTTGCCTTATCCGAGGACATTTTTAGTAAATTTAACCTCGTAGATTCTGCAAACATTACAGTTGATTTAGATAATAACAAAATAACATGCACCTGTGATGGCTATACAGGAATTCGATGGATATTTAATAAAATCTACAAAACTGACAATCACCTATTAAATGTACATTGTATTAATTTCAACAATAGAAATTTATTTGATATACCTGAATCAGAGTTTCAATGTCAACCCACTACCACCACCGTTACTACCCCTACACCACAACCAGGTTCGGATACAACTATATCACCTACAACACCGAGTCCTACTCCATCACCAGGTTAATAATTATTTTCGAAATAATTTAAATTGTTATGTTAAAATATGTATAAATTATTTAAAATTAATATCCTTATTTAATTTCAAAATGTTATTTTAGTTACTTACAAAATTAATAATGAATGGCAAATGATTAGCAAAGATAATTGGCCTTATGTCGATAGCGAGGACTTAATAAATGACGTTGCTACAAACTTTTTCTATTTAAAACATGGTGATAGTAGTTTTGATAAAATTCAAACAACTTTTTATGATGCTGCAAAAGAGATTGTAAAATATCCTGTTAAGTTAAGTTATAAGGTAAACTCATTATTTAAATTATTTCGAAACTTTATTTATTTAAATAATTGTATAATCCATATAATTTTTTATTTTAAATAGTACTGGTCAAGTGGAAAGAGTCAAGTTGCAGTTAATACAAAATTCTTACTTGATAACATTACGGATGAATACACAAATTTTAAAAATTATTGGTTATATCGAGAGTATTTTCTGACTGAAAATCAGTTAAAGGATTACAGTTTTAATGCCACAATCGATGATCAATCTATGATTGCGCTCAAGGATATTAAAAGTAAATATTATATATATATATATTTGGTTATTTATAATTGAAATTACAAATTATAACAAATTATTTATTTTATTTTTTAGTTGAATATCAGTATTCACCAGTAAATAGTAAACTTGATGATATCGGTACTGAACTGGGCCATTTCTATAATTCAGTTTACAAAAATCACCAAGTTTACAATATAGCTATAGACATCACAAAGGATTGTCTAATTAAAAAGCAAGGGCAATTTAATAAGGATTGTTTCAAAGGCGCATTCTACTCGTTTACACAAATTGACAACGAACCTATTTATCAGATTGTAGTTGATGACTTAAAACAAGAAAATGTTTGTTACGATATCCAATATTGGACAACTAAGAAATCATCAATTAACATTTATTATAGTTACTCTAATTCAAAATTTGACAAGGTTAATCCCGATAACAATATATTACAGATCAAACCAAAAATTAACATGTTCACTTCGGATATTGAATCGAGTGAGATTTGCTTAAGGGACCTAGTTGCATTCAGTGCGGCAAAAATTATAATCACTTTTAAAGTTGGCCTTGCTACTGATAACACAATGGCGTTAGCAATACAAGAGAAATCAAGTGATAATATATGGAAATTTACTACAGAACCATGGTTAGATAAAATCGATTCAAAATGGTCAACACGTATTTCACCCAGTGAATTTATTATAGATAAGGATATGGCTCATTTTTCAGGTAATTAGTATTAATTATTGTTTTAAATAAACTCAACAATCTAAGTTATTATTTTTCTAGCTAATCAATTTAACGAAACAGTAACCAGTGCACATTTAAATGGACCATGGTTACGTAATCATGTAAATTTAGGCCCTAACGGATTGGCAGAGTATACTGTTACTGTGCTTGATGAAAAATTATTTAACTCATTTACAGTTGAGCCAAAAATATGCACCGATTTAGGTCAATGCTATGACGTAAACATGGTTAAAATTTTAGCTAGTTCTAATCACACAACTCGAACATATTCATTTAATTTTGATACAATTACCAATGCCAATTATGTTAGGTTAATGTTTTATGTGGAGTATTTTAAACCAGAAAATTTTTTACCTGATCAAAAACTGCAATTTGATATAAAGTTATTGAACCTTGGTAATCCATCGTACGGACCAACAATGGAGATTTTAGGTTGCGATAAATTAGGCACAATTACTAGCCCGGCTGATCCTAGCAAGGATACACCAAATGAATGTCGCTGTAAGCCTGGTTACTCTGATGTAAAATGTAACCATGTTAATTATTGCATCGTGGCAGTCGGAAATGAGGTTGGTAATTTAAAATATATCGATTGTCCCAACTTTACCCAATTACTTTTAATTAAAATTAAAAATATTAACAATTGCATTGTACTAACAATATCTATACCCAAATGTTAGAAATTTATTAGGATTTTATACTGCATTTATAAAATATACATAAATTGTCTACCCTGGTCATAATTTTAGTTTTATTGCATGCATTCTGATTTTTATGGGACTCACTCAAAAGGCCTAAAACCTAAAAGGCCTAAAGTCTAAAAGGTCTAAATCCCAAAAGCCCTAAACTTGAATAATTAACTGACCAATGGGAATTTGACTTAATTTTGGATAGGCTAGGTTAGGTTGAGACGCGTCTATTCCACTAATCAAATTAAAAATATGTCCACTGGTCAGTTAGTTATTTGAGTTTAGGCCTTTTCGGTTTTAGGCCTTTTGGGGTAGAACCGATTTTTATATATAAAAATTGGGAATTTTAATTAAAAGTAGTTGGCTAGTGTTGGGATACCCGACATTTCATTTTAAAAATTTAATTAGATGTATATATAGTATAATAATTATGCTATTATTATTAAATTAGACAGGTGAAGCATTTTGTAATGAAAAAAAGTTACCATGTGATAAAGATTTATCAACATCAAATAAATATGTGTGTGCGTGCAATAATACAAATAATATTATATGGGATGGGTACGTAAACGTATTGCAATATTTAAACATCTTGATATCTTATTTTAAAATTTTAAAATAGGGAAAAATGCAATCTTATTGATAAACCATTAGTGACAAGGTGGGCTAGCGAGCAAATCGAGTAAGTTATATAATATTAATTATTTACTTTAATATCCTATGCAGTAATTTAATTTGAAACAGAATTTATTAATTCATTATAATCTCATATAATCAGGGACATTGAATGGTATTACCCAATCGGAAGTGCAAATGAATTGACGTTCAAGTTTATCGATGTGAATTTTAACAGCATTGACATTTGTCCACGAATCATGAGCAAATATGATAAATCCATATATTTAACAGCGACATACATAGACAACCAAGCCAAAAATATTGTTTATATAAATAACACCATTGTTCAGTCAGAATATAGCTTTTGTTTACGCGATTTAATTTATAACCCAACCGGTACATTTAAATTGGTATTCACTATAGTAGCAGGCACATATTCGAATTCGTCTTTATTTAACTTTGAATGGCAAACGAAAAGGATATTATCACAGAGTGTTAAAGAAATTAATGCGTGGACTAGATACAAGCAACATGATACTTTTTACCCACAATGGCACTCGCTAATTGTGGATTATGGTTACAAACCATTCATCGAGGGAACAAACAATTACACTCATTATTTATATACAGAAAAGTTAACCGATCACGAGTTAAACAAAGCAATATTGGTGAGCGATTGGATCGATATAATAGACAACTATGCCAGCTACATGAATTCTTTAACAATTATAATGAATTCACCCACTTGGTTTAACACTAACCTTTGTTACGGTATATTATATGACACCATGGCCAATCAATACCCAAGTTTAAACTGTACTATATTAAAAAAGGAATCAGAAAATATCCCATTGAATATAACGCCTCCAGTTGCCGCTAAACGTTTCAAGATATTTTTAAATTTGACAGTACAATATAATTACGAATCTACATATAATTTATTCATAAGTATTAATTCTGTATCAATTTACGACGCTTGCTGGCACAATTGTTCCGGCAATGGGGCATGCGCCTACGGAAAACAACCAGGACAATTTAGTTGCGAGTGTCAACATGGTTTTCTTGGCGATACCTGTTCAAAGAAATTATGTGGCCCTGAGGTTAGCTTGTTATTTAAATAGTATATAAATTACATTCATGCACTGAACTATTTAGATTTCATAAATTGTTTTCTAATTGTACAAATGTAAATCTTTTTAATTTTTGTATCTAGGTCAGAGAAAATTGTAACGTTTTCCCATTGATTCCAACATTGGATTCGTCCAAAACGTTTGATGAGACGTATTGCGAAATAGTCGACTCTGAAAGTGAGAAAGGTTATAAATGCCACTGCCCAAGTAAACAATTCTCGGAGTTCACCAGCGTAACTACAGGGTACATAGATACAACAATTTTAAAATAAATTAATTTTAATTTTAATTTGTATTGGTAGTTGTAAACAACAGCACCCCATAAAAACTAACAAGGTCGATTGCGTGGAAAACCAAGAAAATTGCAAAATATTTAAACTTAATAAGTTTAACTGGTGGGAAGGTATGCAAATAAAGCACACTGATACTATTTTCCCGTTATATGCGCCTAATAAAATTGGTGATAACATGACAATTGGATTTTCAAATGTGGATATTAACAAGGACGTTTGTATTACATTGAATTATCATACTGATCCAAGCGTTAATTTAATGATTCAATATGAGCAAGCTAAACCATTTGAACTAATCAAGCAACCTAATGAAACAAGTTGGAGTCACCAAATTGTATGCCTATCTAAATTAACTAGCAAGATTGACCGTGATTTCACCATCACCATTTTAACCAAGCCGAAAATAACTGACGGAAAAGTTTTTCAAATTGCAATTAATATTGAAAATGTTAACTTAAAAAACAAATTCTATCTTGATTAATATTTTCATTAAAATGTCGATTGTTTACCAAAATTACAAACCTGTATTAAGCTTATATAATCAAGATAATTAAATTTTATTTTTGTTGTTAAAGATTAAAAATTATAATTAGTTATGATTGATTAGATATAATTAATAAAATTTAATTTTAAATAAATACAATTTATAACTCAAAAATAATATTTCTACATTTATATTACTTCAAATTAAATAATTACAAAACAATTTATATGAAACATTAGAATTATGATTATAATTTTAATTATTTATTAAAATTATATATTATTTTACTTAAATGTTCTTATAAATTTCTAAATTGAAAATATACTAATTAATAAAAAACATTAAAATTAATTATCTATTAATGAACTACATAATGATCAATTCAATTCAAAAGTAGTTTTATAATAATAATTTTAGAAATAATAAAAATGAATTTTTAAAAATTATTATTTTCTAATTTACACTACTGGGCCCTGGATAAATTTTCATATAAATAAAAATGAGTATTTTTAATAAATAATATTAAAAATATTTTAGGCACTAATAATAATAATAATTTACTCATACTTTACTCAAAAGCACTTCACTATAAACTTGATAACTCTACTCAGTAGGGAACATCGAGGCACGAATCTCGATTAAGTGGTTCTAATTGTTATGATTAGTTAGCCAGTAACACAATTAACATTTTGAATTGACTAAACTTGGCGAATCAAGTAAATATAGGNGCCAGTAACACAATTAACATTTTGAATTGACTAAACTTGGCGAATCAAGTAAATATAGGAAATTAGATTTTTATGAACCATAGCTTAAATGAAAGTTTATTGCTCTTCAAAATGTTTTTAACTGTTTTGACCTATGACCTTTGATCTGACCTCTGCATATGGCCTTTGCGTTTGTCCCGTGATTTTAATGACTAAATTTTTATAAATTTTAACTAATTGGATAAGAACTGCATTAAATAGACGTTTAAAATACTTTTTACCGATTTTGGCTAAGTGTTATAACAAAAAACCTATTAAAGTTTTGCCAGACGAATTTTCATGTGAACTACCTTATATAATATAATATAAAATTTTTGCTTTTAATTTATTATAAAGTGGATCAATTAAATCTGCAACGATCATTTGTTTAATAGATCGCTTATTAATTGTAGCTAAAATCTATACTCTGGCACATTTAAAGTTCATTATGAGGTAGCCCTGAATAAACAAGAATATTCTGTATGACATCAAGAATATTCTGTGATATTGGACGAT